CTCTGTGCTTAAGGGATACGATCTCCTGCTGTAGTATCAGTCCCCCCCCCCTCTCCCTGTCAGCCACAATCCAAGGGAAAGTACTGACTCTGCACAGTTTCCATTGGATCTTTAATAGGGAAACTTCATATTTCATATTCCTTATTTACAGTTGCAAGAAAAAGTATGTGAACCCCTTGGGATTACGTGGAGTTTTGCATGAATTGGGCATAAAATGTGCTCTGAATGTCATCTAAGTCACAACAATAGAAGAACACAGTCTGCTGAACATAATACTACACAAACATTAGATGTTACCATGGTTTAATTGCACATAACATGTAAACATTCACAGTGCAGGGAGGAAAAAGTATGTGAACCTTTGGACTTAATAACTGGTTGACCCTCCTTTGGCAGCAATAACCTCAACCAAACATTTCCTGTAGTTGCAGATCAGACCTGCACAACGATCTGGAGTCATTTTGGACCACTCCTCTTCACAAAACTGTTTCAGTGTAGCAATATTCTTGGGATGTCTGGTGTGAATCGCTCTCTTAAGGTCATGCCACAGCATTTCAATCGGGTTGAGGTCAGGACTCTGACTGGGCCACTCCAGAAGGCGTATTCTGTGCTGTTGCAGCCATTGTCTTGTTGAATTACTTGTATGCTTTGGGTCATTGTCCTGTTGCATCACCCATCCTCTGCGGAGCTTCAGTTGGCGGACAGATGGTCGTACGTTTTCCTGCAAAATGTCTTGATAAACTCTGGAATTCATTTTCCCATCAATGACAACAATCCGTCCAGGCCCTGAGGCAGCAAAGCAGCCCCAAATAATGATGCTCCCTCCGCCATGTTTTACAGTGGGATGAGGTTTTGATGTTGGTGTGCTGTGCCTTTTTTTCTCCACACATAGTGTTGTGGGTTCTTTCCAAACAACTCAATCTTGGTTTCATCTGTCCACAGTATATTTTTCCAGTAGTGCTGTGGAACATCCAGGTGCTCTTTTGCAAACTTCAAACGTGCTGCAATATTCTTTTTGGACAGCAATGGCTTCCTCCGTGGTGTCCTCCCATGTACTCCATTCTTGTTTAATGTTTTCCTTATTGTAGATGTGTCAACAAAAATGTTAGCATGTGCCAATGATTTTTGTAGGTCTTTAGCTGACACTCTGGGATTCTTCTTTACCTCATGCAGCATTCTGCGCTGTGCTCTTGCAGTCATTTTTACAGGATGACCACGCCTAGGGGGAGTAGCAACAGTGCTAAACTTTCTCCATTTGTAGACAGTCTGTCTTACCGTGGACAGATGAACATCAAGGCTTTTGGAGATACTTTTGTAACCCTTTCCAGCTTTATGCAATTCAACAATTCTTGATCGTAGGTCTTCTGAGAGCTCTTTTCTGCGAGGCATGGTTCACATCAGACAGTGCTTCTTGAAACCAGTAAACTCAAAACAGGTGTGTGTTTTTAAGGGCAGGACAGCTGTCAGCAACACATTCAATATCATCACACTGATTGGAGTCAAGGTTGGCTCACACCTGGCTCCAATTAGCTCTGGGAGAAGTCATTAAGATAGGGTCTCACATACTTTTTCCTCCCTGCACTGTGAATGTTTACATGTTATGTGCAATTAAACCATGGCAACATCTAATGTTTGTGTAGTATTATGTTCAGCAGACTGTGTTCTTCTATTGTTGTGACTTAGATGACGTTCAGAGCACATTTTATGCCCAATTCATGCAAAACTCCACGTAATCCCAAGGGGTTCACATACTTTTTCTTGCAACTGTATGTTGGTCTCACAAATATGTAATAAATCCTCTAATATCCAGGTTATTCTGGTTACCTTAGCTGACCATAGGAATTTCATTGTAAGCTGACTATATGGACAAGCCAGCCCACTAATCTCCTATCAGGAATGTGTGATTACAAACTGACCAAGTCCTTAAAAGGTCATATTGCTTGTAAGGGGAGTTGACCATTCCCAACATACAAGTCCAGTATATAACACACAGCTACACTGAAAATATGTAGTCTCAAACCAGAACTTTCAATCATGAATGCATCTGAACCTGGTCAGCCATGCCGTGAAATGTGGGCGGGGGATTCCATGGCGAAACAGCATCTTTAGTTCTTGTTATATTTTCTTTATCTGTAATTACTTTTAATAAATGTTATACTTAGGGATGCACCAAACATTTCAGCCAGAAATACCCCTGTGGCCAATATGAATATAGGCACTGATACAGGCGCTGAAAATATGGGCATAGAGTTCAGTGAAGGAAAGATGGCCTCCACTCATCTCTATGCCCTTGGAGGACCGGAGTGACGTCATTACACCACTTCTGGTTCCGGCACCATGTGAACAAACCCATTTCCCAGATCAATGCTTTATTTTTAATCTAATGCTTTATATTGTAGAGGAGAGATGTTGGGACGTATTGACCCCATATCTCTCCATAAAGAAGACCTGTCACTGCTTATTTCTATCACAAGGAATGTTTGCATTCCTTGTGGTAGGAATAAAAGTGATAAAAAATAAATAAAAAGGGACAGTGTAAAAAAAAAAAAAAAAGTAGTAAAAAAATTCAAGTGCCCCCCCCGTACCCCCATGCAGTGGTGAACGCAGATGTAGGCCACACCCACATATGTAACCCGTGTTCAAACCACACGTGAGGCATCGCCACAAACATCAGAGCGAGAGCAATAATTCTAGCACTAGATCTCCTCTGTAACTTTTTAAAGCATCATGGAGATTTTTAAGTACCACAGTTTAGCGCCATTCCACTAAAGTGTGCGCAATTTTAAAGCATGACATGCTGGGTATCTATTTACTCGGCGTAACATCATCTTTCATATTTTACAAAAAGTGTGGTATAGTGTTTTTTTTTATTCATTAAAGTGCATTTTTTCCCTAAAAAAAGTGTTTGAAAAATATATACATTTTTAAAAACTGTCCATTTCAGTTTTGGTTTTCAGCCAAGTGCATCCTGAATATTTGGTTTCGGCACCAGAATTTTCATTTCGGTCCTCCACTAGTTATAAGTATTTGTGTGATCTCTAATTGCACATATTAACTACAACCCCAAAACAGGAACAAAACAAACCATCCTCAACCTGTGGTAGTCATCACTGGAAATGACTTAGAGTAGCTGAGCCTTATGTTAGACCTGGCCCTGTCCAGGATCTTCCTGTCCCAGGATAAACTTTTGTTCCTCTGTGCTCATGTCCAGACCCTGGCTTCATGCCTTATGGGGTTTAATGGCCTCTTTCTTTAAGGCTGCACCATATGCCCAGTTTTAATGCAGACCCTCGCATCACAACATTCTGGCAGCATGGAAAAATAGGCTCAGTCCTTGGACCACACCATGCATGTGACCCACACGGCAAGACTCTCTGGGGCATGTTGGTTTTCCAGACTGGTGCTAGAGTCAGGAAAGCCCTTTCCTCCAAAGACCAGGAAGGTACTCTTGCTAGATGCCATTCTATCAATGAGGAGGTGTCCTGGATGCCTTCTTGGTACAGGGGCTTGGTTGTTGGAGGAGGTCTGTCTTCCTATCAACATCCTAAAACCCATGACAATTTGGTTGTCCCTTCAATTGCTGGACCCCTTAATTGCAAGAGCACCCCAATGTGGACCTTTGCAACAGTTCAGTCCGATGCCTGAGGACATTTTAGTGATTGTCACTGGTAAACCTGGTACTTGGACATACTCTGAATCCTGGCAGACAAGTTCCACTGACCCCTGCTTCATGTTGCTGGCTTTGATGGCATGGCTAGTGAAGCCCAGGTCCTTTAAGACAAGGGCCTGTCAGACTGGGTTATTGCTACCCTCTTGAAGGCTAGGAGGTGCTGGAAAGTCTACCATCACACCTAGAAGGAAAAAAAAGACAGAAGAAAAGATAGAGCTCAAATTATATTAAATACAGTAAGTCCTGAGTCCAAATTTCAAAAGATCATAGTCCATGGGCACAGTGGTCCAATTTGCTTGCTCTTGAACTTTTCTTCTTTTTTTTTTTGCTACTTTTTCCTCTTCAGTATTCTATGTTGGATCAGAGCTGTGTGTGGTCTGGATTATCTACCTTCTTACATGTGCTCTTAAAGATGCAGATCTAATAGATACTGAAAAGCCCTTGAAGCAGATTTACAAGGCTGCCACTGGGTTCTCTGTTGTTTAAGTTGTACCAGGTGGATATTCAGATGTATTCTGATGCCAGTCTCTACTGGAAGGTGCTACAAGCTGCTCTAACTTCTATGAAGCCCCTCCTGTCCAGTTATGTGGGCCTGTTGGCATTGGGAGTCAGAGGTTATGAAGGGAATGGTCTAGTACCATTTTTTTTTTTTTTTTTTTTTTTGCCATTGTCAAATTAGCTGCAGGTAGCTGCACAAAACACCTGGTAAAAACTGAAGATCCTGTGTCCCATACTGTACTCCAAGAAATGTATTTTGCTGGTAAGTCAAAATTCCTATTTTATCAAACCAGGTGATGCCAACAGGGCCATCCACTGAATGAATTTCAGCTGCAGTATGAATCAGACAAAATTCAATCAGTGTAGGGCTAGCTGTAGAACAGTTTAATTTTTCTAAAGAGTAGCTGGATTAAATTTTGGGTAATTTTTGGACACATACTGGAAATCTGGAACTTGTAACAAGGGAGTTGGAGCTGTTTAAATTCTTACAAAGACTGCTTAGAAAATGTAAGCTTTTTTTTGTCTTCTATCTTATTCCAATACAGGCTGTAAAAGTTAGCTCCTGGGCTTGATGAGAAAGGTTCATACTTGGCTAATAACCCTGTTGCTGTCTGCAGCTGGCCATGAAATGTTTGCATAGCTTGTGGAATTTATTAAAAAAAAAAAAATTACATAAAGCTTCAGGAACATTGGATCTGTTGTTCAGAGCAACCGGCAAGCAAACAAATAAAGGAAACTGCTTGGCATTGGCAATAAAACCACTTTTATCCACACATTTATAAATCAGTCTTATGGTTTCCATTAACAATGTGCCTTTCTTATAACTCCATAGATGGTTATTCTTATGAGAGAAGTGCGATTGAAAGCTGGATAAATACGAGGAGGACAAGTCCTATGACCAACCTTCCACTAGAGAATCTTCTTCTGACTCCAAATCGAACACTAAAAATGGCGCTAAACCGCTGGCTAGAGACAAGGCCTGACCAGAATGACAAGCAAGCGGCGACCTAATTTCTATATCAGTAAGTTACTGACATTACCTTCTGTGTGGCTGTAAATAGCAGTGCACAAGATCTGAGGCATTTGTCTGTTAATAACCATTGATTTACTGAGAAAGGGGAGATTGTAAAAAAAAAACAAAAAGTCTTTTACAAGGAGTGTTTACATATGGGATTGATTTGCAATCCAAAGGCACAGAGGCACTCTGAATTTTGTCTGTGATCTGTATGTTCTAACAGAATGATTGCAGGCATTGTGCGTGCATTGAGCGAGTGTACAAGTAGTACCCAGGGTGACATTTTTAACCACTTCCAGTCCGGACACTTTTACCCCCTTCCTGACCAGGGCAATTTTCAGCTTTCTGTGCTATCACACTTTGAATGAAAATTGCGCGGTCATGCAACACTGTACCCATATGAATTTTTTTATTATTTTTTTGAGACAGATAAAACTTTATTTTGGTGGTATTTATTCACTGCTGGGATTTTTATTTTTTTTGGTGGTATTTATTCACCGCTGGGATTTTTATTGTTTTTGCTATGTAAATGTCCAAAAATTTTGAAAAAAAGTGTTTTTCTTATAAAATTTTGTAAATAAATAATATTTCATCATAAATTTTGGCCAAAATTTTTCTGTTATCTTTTTAGTAAAAAAAAAAAAAAAAGCCAAATTAGTTTATAACCAAAAATTATAATTTTTAAACTTTTTTTTTTATATTTGTATTATTTTTTTTTTATACATACGGTCACCCTAGCAGTACAGTGTCACCATGGTGACACTGTACTACTTTTGGGGGGTGATGAAGATTTTTTTTTTTTTTTTTTTTACACTGATTGCTTTTACACCCATATAGGATGTAAAAGCAATCATTTCTCTTTCTCTCTGTCTGCAATCTTGCAGCCTCTGACAACTACTGAGTGAGCTGTGATTGGTCACAGCTTGTCACACGGTACAAGGCTGTTGTGAATAGCTTTGTACCATGTGACCTCTGTGATCATTCACAGATTTCACACATAGTGACATCAGAAGTGACATCTTGCTTACTACTTTGCATGTGATCACTGATTGGCCAATCAGTGATCACATGATCAGGACCTCGTACAGAGGTCCCGTCCGGCGATCGGTGTTTCACTGTGTCCAGAGGACACAGCGGGCACCGGATCGCGGTGCTGCGAGCTCCCAGGGAGCGCGCACAAGCAGGGTGCGGGGAGGCCGTTTATAAACGGCCACCCGACCCTGCAGTGCCACTGTCTGGACATTTATATACAACGGCCGGTCGGGAAGTGGTTAAATGGCACTCTAGCAACCGCAACTACCAACCCACTATTTTAAAACATACATTGGCACTGATGTAGCTAAAGAGAAGCGCTTTAAAAAAAAATATTGTACAAGCATGTAAAAAGAAAAAAATGTGCCTGATTTTTCATTGGTAGCCCATGTAAAATGAGTGGCCTGCATAACCATAACCTGCATATGCAGTAATCCTTTGACAGAGGTCAATGTGTTTTTTTTTTTTTTTTTTACCCACACATATTAAAGGCTTAATTTCACCTTTGCCAGAAAATAATGTATGCAGTTAAGGGACCTCAGTAGGTAATAAAAAAAAAACAGCAGTTTTGTAAATTGTTCATTACTTTTTGCCATACCTGTAGGCCCATTTGGGCTTCCTCAGAAGCCTGGCAAAAAAAAAACCTTCCAGTTAGCATTCCTCATGTCCTTCCTTGTTGTTAGCATGCAAAAATCATTAGTTTTGGTTCCTGTAAAGCCGAGAGTGAGTGAGTTTCAAGCAACAAGGCAGGGCATGCAGGATTTGTTGGAAGTTTTTTGGCCAGGCTTCTGGGGGCCCAAATAGCCTAAAGGTATGACAAAAATACAAATGAACATTTTCCAAAGCTGCAAAGTTTTGTTTTTTTTTTACAATACCTACTGCAGCCCTTTAACTGCATAGGCAATTTTCTGGAAAATGTGAACTTCGCCTTTAAAAAAGCTAACATGCCAGAAAAAGTATAATTATTTTCAAAAAACGGTGTGATTTTCAGCAGAGAATAGTGAGATTTGAAAATGACAGTTGGAGAGCTTCATCCTTGTGTTAAAGCTTTGTGAATTGAGTGTATAGAAGGCTGATAGGTTTCCAAACTTGCAGTGGGATGTTAAGGGGACAGTTTATGCCTTCATGGTATCCTTCTTTAGGATTTACAGGTCCCTTTACATGTCATGTGTACAGCAGTAACAGTCATATATATATCTCTATCTAATAAAACTGTCCCTACTGATACAATGGTCTCGCAATGCCTTATCTTACCTATACCCAGTAAAGTGACTGACCTCAGGTGATACAAAGAGATTGAAAAAAAAAAAAAATCCTCCTACATAGGTTGTACCTGTTTATCTGCAGCTAGTTTTCCTGTGCATACTTGTAGATTTCAGAGATAAAATGGTTTTTCCCAGACTCACAACGTGAGGGTGGGATCTGCAGTTACACACTGTACAAGAGCTCTGAGAGTTGATTGTAGGGGCCACCCCCCTTTCCACACTGGAAGAGCTGAGGCTGTCAGTCACAGGCTGTGTGCTGGAGGTCCCTCCCCTGTCGCCCTTTAAGCTCTTGGTGTCAGAAAAACTTGTCAGAAGTGACTTATGCTAATAGCAGAGGAACAAGACAGGCAAACAGAATTGACACTTAGTGCTTTGGAGAGAGGCAAGTAAATACTATAGAAACATGTGCTTTGTTCAGACTTCATGTCTGAGGTTTACAATCACTTTAACCCTTCCCCCCACCCCCAACTTTCCAGACTGATTTACTATATTTTAGGTCTCTTTTAGAACAGAAAACCTTAACGGATATCAGGAATGTTGCTGTTACTAGTCTCTGTGATTCCAGTGGATTTTTACTTCGCTTTTCATATTACTATGAACCAAATCACAAGGGTAGCAAGCTGCTGCTCCTGAAGAATATCCATTTTTCTGGAAGTGTTACTGCCTTATTTAAGACCATAATAATGTTCCCAGCCTGCGTACTTTACAAGTATGTAATAGTATAGAGCTAATCATGTCAGATGTGTAGTAAATACCCTGCACTGTGTGTAGATATATATGTTGTATATAGAAAAGGTTTATGAGAAGCTTTGTACATATATTAAATAATAATTTTAAAACAATTGAAATATTCCATGTAAGCTATATTCTTGATAAAAATAAATTGTACATCATCTGTAGTGTTTTTTTTTTTTTACGCATCCTACAAGCTCTATTACTTTACTTGCTGAAGCGCGTAGCAGCCTGCCCACTAATTAATCGGACACCTCTCAGTCTGTCAGGGGCATGAGATACAGCTGGCCATCCATCCCCCTCTGGTGGGTCTTCTTCTATGCACCAAGTAGCTGCCTATGAGGCAAATTGGACTGTTACTTGACATTGCATCCACCACTCACTGCTGCTGGAGCTAGAGTAGAGATATTACCTGTAAACGTGCTCTTTACAATAAAGTGATGCTTTCATGATTTACTAATACCTGCACCCTGCTGATTACTTGTTATCAAAGGATCACCTTTCTGTCTGCTGCAAACCCGGTGTTACATTTTGCCCTCTGCCATGATAGTCCCTTAAAAAAAAACAAAAAAAAAACCAACTTCTGGTTTTGGGACAATGCTAAAGTAAGAAATGTTCGTGCCCCTTCACACCAGAACGTGGTATGGGAAACCCAAGTTCTGTGCAAAACACACCGGGTGTACGTTCCCCTGCTGGTGTCAAGGTAATCCTAACGACACCCCAAACACAGTAGGGATTTTTTTAACGAAAACTGGAGAGTGCAAAATTTAGTGCGGCTCTGCATAGAAACCAATCAGCTTTCAGGTTTTATTGGACAAGCTGAAGTTAGAAGCTGATTGGCTACCATACACAGCTGCTCCAGATTCCAGTTTTAATAAATCTCCCCCAGTGCATTAGCCTGCATACAGTACCATGCAATCCAGTTACAGTGAGTTAAGGACAGTGAACGTACTACTTTTGTTGCAATCCAGTACCCATATTAACGGTCAATGACAAATATGCTATACGATCGTCGACAAGTAAATGCTGACCTTTTTGGTCTCCAGTCTGGATTTCTGCATTAAAAAAAAATCACACTAAAGAGGACAAAAAACTCACCTGTTTCTATGGTGGTGTTCCCTTGCCTCAGAACAGCAAGGTGTTATTCTTTTTATAGCAATACTGTTTTTTTTTTTTTGTTTTTGGTTTTTTTTTTGCTCTCTCCCCAGCAACAGGATGGCTAAGGTGATATAAGCTCGGACAGCAAGGCCAATACCAAGGTGCCCACACATAATAATATGGACAGTCAGTAACAGTAAGGGGTCCCAGACTGCCACGCTGCCTGCCAGGGGACCATTCAGGTGGGTCTTCCTTGTTGCTGCTCCTGCAGAGCCTGATCATTTGCATGAATGCATCATGTACTGTGTATTACAATCCACCTGCTCTTGGTCCATGCAGACTATTACTATTCTAGGATTACAGTCTATGTTCTAGGGTCAGGGGTGGGCAAACTGCAGCTCTCCAGCTGTTGCAGGACTACAAGTTCCATCATGCCTCTGCAAGTCATAGCTGTAACTGTTTTGTAATGTTGCAATGCTTCATGGGAAATGTAGTTCCACAACAGCTGGAGAGCTGCAGTTTGCCCACCCCTGTTCTAGGTGTACCGACAGGACAAATTCTTTCCACCTTTTTCCCTATTCCTTGTTTGGTTATGTTTGATCTTGTTAAAGTTATGCACATTTACATTCATTAGAATGGGGTGCACAAGTGTGAGGGGCCTAAAACAGGAGTGCAAGTACAGTGGGGCAAAAAAGTATTTAGTCAGCCACCAATTGTACAAGTTCTCCCACTTTAAAAAGATGAGAGAGGCCTGTAATTGGCATCATAGGTAGACCTCAACTATGAGAGACAGAATGAGAAAAAAAAATCCAGACAATCACATTGGCTGATTTGGAAAGAATTTATTTGCAAATTATGGTGGAAAATAA